TCTGCAACCCCACGCATACGGTGCCTCGATAATGGTATTGCCTACTGTCGTCAACTCGTCCCGGATCATGGCTGCAGTGTACCCTCCTATCTTGCGCCAATCGACCACGTTTGGCCTGTACATTATTACTCCCTCTTCCTGCAACACCCGAGCCAACTGGTCCAACTCCGCATCCTCCTTTTGCAGTATATGCTCTGGGAACGGCGAGTCTGGCTGAAATAGTTTTTGATGTAGAGCTGGCATCGTGGCTTTGATCATATGTGGAGGCTCGTGGGGAAAACATGGATGCGTTGTGCGGCCTACGATGACGCTTCGTAATTGCGACCGTTCGTTACCGGCGTCAACGAGGTGAAATGGACGAAGGCATGATGCTTGTGAGTAATATGGAGGTCTGATACTTTCTCTGCCTTGATCACTCCACCGATCATGAGTTTTATACTCTTCGAACACAATTCTTGTGCTACTTCAGTCGCAGGGGTACATCGAACGTAACTGCATAGTCCCGTGATAAGGTGTACGAAAAGCTATAGCTACCTTGTATAGTAGGGAGTCGTATATGGTCAGCGTGATCGAGTGTTAGGCTTCGGTTCGCTCTAAATCAGACACTTACCTGGTAGTGGCGTTGCAGGAAGCTGCAATATTGCATACGGCGAGTACTTACGAGAAACACAAGAAGCTGAGGTCATGTACAAGGCGCGTATATTATTAACGAGATGGAGAGAAGTCAAGCACAAATGATAGGGATCAATTTCCTAGTCTCAGTACATATACCTAGCAAAAGAGTAGCGTGTTAGCAATCTTGAAGATCTTGCTTGCTGTTGTATTAATACCACATCTACACCGTCGACCTTCTGAGGTGGAAAACTTAAGTTAAATGCATCACAAACGATTTGCGTTGATGCGCGCGACTTGTTGTTTCTGACTCGAAAATGGAGATTCGTACTCACAAGTAGCCTCGAATTGGATCGTGGTGTCTTGTGGTATGTTTGATCGAATTGCACGATCGCACGTCTTCTAGGATATGGCCTGGACAAGTATCTGAACTGTCCTACCATCCATGAACAGCCTGCCAGGAACCAGAAGTCCTCGTCAAAAGCCAAACTCGATACTCCGGATCCATAGCTGAGCGCAACCCTGAGCCTAGACGCATTTGGGCATTCAAGAAGCAATCAGATCCTGAACTCGCTTCTCATCCAAAAGCTCATCTTCCTTGAGTCGACCCACCTCCTCCACCTTCCCACCTACCCACTGGTATCGTACTAGCGCCGGGATGTTGTTGATGTTCCAATCCGTTCGGAAGCGATTACTTGGATTCTCCTTGAACCTACCATGACAACGATTAGACACGTCGGCGCGGCGCAGGCACGCCTAACTCACTCGACCTTCGATCCGACGTAGGCATAATGGACTTCTGGACTCGAAGGAGCAGAAAAGATCTGGTTGAGGATTGGTAGTGCGGCTCGGACGTCGCTACACCATGGCTGCTGTGTCGCTGGATCGGTGGATGCGATGTAGAGGATGAAGAACTTGGCGTCTGGCTCCGTTGCAAGGGGCAAGTCTTGCGCCGAATTTGGCACCTCGAAATCGTCGTCGATTGACATGGGTGGAGCAGGATGAGTTTAAGGGTTATGCGTAGTTCGATGTGTGATCAATGGTAGCGATGAGGTGTGTTTCACGTCATGGCCAACGCTTATCGATACCGGTAAAGTATCGATGTCACTTTCCTTCCACCGTGTCCTCGACACCTACAACACATTAACGCTCACTACCTACTCTCCTCTCTACAGTTGATGCACGTCGCGATTCGCCACTCGCCATAACCCGGCGACCGTTTGCAGTGTCTCTACTGCCATTGATTCAAGATCAGACCTCGGCATCTGGGGACCGGAATGCGAAATGTGGAAGTACCGGTAGAGCCTGCCGCTCACTGATGGTCCTGGACCTACCTAGGTAGAGCGTTTCGATATGAATTTTGGCTGAAGTACGCGTGTGTCTCTACTCTGTTGTATAACACTTGGACGGCTTACATGGTGAAAGAGTTGCTCAATAGATGTTTGACAAGGATGAGCTCAGGAAGATGAGATTGCCAGAGCAAAGTCTCGCGGTGAATAAGTAACATTACTCGTCGAGAATTACTAATTAAAAAGCTATCAAGGCATTATAATATCCACCACAAAGCGACTAAACTTATCTGTCAAGCACAACGCATCTCGTTCAGTACACTGCCCATCTACCGGTTCTCACCAAGTCAATCAGCACGTTGGATCTTCTCCTGCAGCAACCTAGTCTGGATACTTAGCATCAATGACGACGATTGCGGTTCCGGCCACACTTGATGAGATGTAGCAGTTGTTTTGCTGGAATAGCATGAAGGCATTGCAGTTCTGCTCGGCATATAGCATGGCGCATCCTTCGTACGACGTGGCTCCCGAGTTCCTGTACCCACCATTGATGATGTTGCCGCAAAATACCCGGAACTTCTTGGCGCCGTATGTATAGCATGTCCTATCGCCGCTTGGGCATGGATTCGTGATTGGAGCTGGGGATGGCGACGGAGAGGGGCTTGGAGATGGCTCTGGTGAAGGGCTTGCGGATGACGACGAGCTTGGCGACGGGGAGCTGCTTGCCGAGCTAGAGACGGGAGGTCCGACGTCTGAAGAAGAACTCGAGATCATAGAGGAAGAGCTGGGGTCCGCGGAACTTGAAATTGAAGACGAGCTGGCGTCTGTAGATGAGCTAGCAACCGAAGCAGAGCTAGTAACCAAAGACGAGCTATCAGCCGGAGAGGAGCTGGCAACTGAAGAAGAGCTGGTGACTGAAGAGGAGCTGGCGACTGAAGAGGACCTTGATATCGAGGAAGAGCTGATTGATGACAATCGCGACGAAGTCGTTAAAGCTTTGCCGAGCTCACTGGTATGGCATTGCAATTGCCGAAGCCTGATTGGCAGCCCGTGCTGCAGTGATCGGCTGTACTTCCACACTGCCACTATCAGCATCTCAATTCGTTGCTCTAGAAATGTAACTTACGTAGCTGTACGGGCTGCAACAGTCTCCCCACTTCGAGCCCTTACATGTCTGGCTGCTTCCTTCTTTTCCGCATCGTGCGTTGGTGGTAACTTTGAGGGTTGACGAAGCTGCAAGGGAGATTGAACGTGTCGATGACGAGACGACGCGTATCAGAGTCGAGCTGGGCTTGATGCTGGACGATGAAGGTGAAGATGCCCTGCAATCACCGAAACCAGTTTAACAGCCTATACCGCAACGGGGGGTGGTGCTCCCACTATGTAGCGTCAGCGTCGATACTCACGAACCCAAATTTTCGAGTACGTACCAGTAAGAATACTGAGAACAACAGTTGCCAAAGGTGCTTCCTTTGCATGTGAGGCCACCAAAGTCAGGCCCGCATCGTGCAGACGTGGAGACTTTCTGTGCAGCCACAAAAGGCGCTATAACGAGTGTAAGGGCAATAATAAACGACCTCATGATTGTCAAGGCAGTATGAACGAGTGTAGTTGGTTCGATACAACCTTCATGTCAGGCTTGGAAGCAGCCTTATACTTCCCACCAAGCTCAGTCCTACGTTTTGACATGCGCCCCCGACAATGCTTAGCCCAGGAACTCCACTATTTCGCGCCCAAAACGTATCGCAATGTTGCGCTCGTGTGATTTGGTATAAGCTAACCTCTCTAGTGCCCGTCACTGCTTAGTGTGGTGATTGCGGCTGGATACTTCCGGCCCTTTCGGTTACCCCAGAACGCAATCTTGATATTAAAGACATTCAACACCAATAGATTACCAGCAAATGCAGCGATGCGCAAGGGTACGCGAGAGGGAACCCATAACTTTTACACAAGTCTTTTGAGGATACCTGTGACCCACGAGTCGATTAGCATGATGAATTTGTTGGCACTTTAGCTACAAACAACAAAACAGCAATTTCGCTTTTGTTCCTTCGTGTTCGCAATGTAGACACCCGCTACCTCGAGAAATGCAGAGATTATTGTGTTGTAGGAAGAGTTAAGGTAGCAATATCAGGCATACACTAAAATCCTCAAGACCTAGCAGAGGGAGATAGAGCAGTTACAATGTTGATCAACGTCTTCCGGGCTGATGATATCTTTCAATACTGTACTGACTAGCTACGTCCTCTTATGCGATACCTACGCTTGACTCTCGTCGTGACTGTTCCCCGTAGCATCGCCCGATCAAGCCGAGCGCCTTTCGGAAAGGGGTATCGGACAGACTCATGAGCTTCGCGCTCAACAGTTTATGGGCTTTTATGAAATCCGAGCGCGTTGAACGCAAGAATCATTCTTGGTGGAATAGCGATGAGGAGAGCCGTCGTAGATGCAATTTGATATCCTGAGGATCTCGGGAGCACTGGTGTTGCGCGTGACTGTGGGAAATTCTATAAGTTGATGCCTTGTATGTTAGAACTCCTTCTTATAACAAATCTGACTTGGAAAGGCGTCGAACAGTGAAACAAACTTTGCGCATGTGAGGGCATGCTCGAGAACAACGAGAGGAGATGCAGAATGCGGTTGCAAAGTTTCATTTGGTGATCATTTGGTGATCATTCGGTGATCATTCGGAAATCTCGGTGTCAGCCAGTGGCGTTCAGGAGATATCTAAGTGCACAGCAAAACAGTTCGACAGTGAACCACGACATGCGGTGCAGTTTTCCAATACTAAGACCCTCTGTAAATTCAAATGATCGAGGTCTTTAAACCTTTCTGCACTAGTACCCTCGAGATCCAACCATGCTCTCTCGAGCTAGCCGTCAGTCCGCCCGCCCAAAACCCATGTCTTTCGCGCCCAAACCCCTCAATCAGCCCCACGCCATGACCAACGCATCTCTCAGCCGCGCCACATACAGTCCTGACCGTTTGACTGAATCGAACCGCTCGTTCTGTCGGATTTCTCAACTATATTTTGCTAACAGTCGACCGTTCTTCCATCAAATCCAACAGGATCCCAAGCACGGCTCAACCGTCGCATAACTCCGCTTGGTGTAGTTGGTTGTAAGTTCAAACTCATATCTCAATTTCAAAGTTATCTCAGTCACTAACACCGCTTAGTATCACGTTCGACTGTAATATACTTTGTAATCGAAAGGTCCCTAGTTCGATTCTGGGAGCGGAGATATCTTTTTGCCAGTGCAGTGCCTTCGAGAGGGGAGTGTTGTGCTTGGTGGCCTCTTTTTTTTGGAGCGGGTGGATGCTTTTTGCCGGCTTCGCAGCTTGGGCTGGTTCGGGCTAGCTAGCATCTTTGTGGGAGTGGGGTATGTTGTGCGCTAGAAGCGGGGCTCAAGGACATGCAAGGGAAGAGTGGGTTGGAACCGTGGATGTGACCCTAGGCACCTCTCCTCTTTGCTTCTCACTTACTACACAAATGTATATAAGTGATAAATTTTCTAAATATTCATAAATCAACAGGCCCGATGGCGCAATGGTAGCGCGTCAGATTCCAGTCGAATCTTGGAAATACCTGAAGGTTGGGTGTTCAAATCACTCTCGGGTCAGGTACACCTGTTTCTTTTTGCGTTTTCAGGCTCTTTTGCCTGTGGATCGTGTCATCGACTTGTTCCCTTGCGGTATGGACTGTTTTGTGCACGGTGATTCATTTTTGATGACCCCACTACCTTTACCCGAACGAACCAAACACGACGGCTTTGCCGGATGAGTTATCTTCCTGCACTAGGGACTTCTCAAGCATAAGGAGAAGATGCGACGTCCTAATCAGAAGCTCTGCGCAGCAGTAAGTCTTATGGCAGGTGAATGCGTGAGTTGAGGCGTACATACCGTCATACTCAATCTCGTAACTCGCGGGCATGCCCTCGTCTGCTCGGATGAGTATAGGGACATCCCTTCTAAACTTCCTCTCCTTCACATTGAACCGAATGCCAGTATTCTTTGACGCGCTGACCCAAAGAATTCTTGCGTCATCTAAGTCCACCTCTTTGTCTTCAACTTCTTTTGCAACTTCCTTGCCCCTGCCAACCACCTCTTGCGGTGCATCAATATCCGCCTTTCGACCCCTTATTGCCATACTCTCCAACCAGTCCTTCCAGACCCTCAACACGCCTTCCTCTACCTCAACGAAGCATGTAAACAGTCCATGCCGTGGCCCAATCCTGACCAGGTTTGTCTGCGACACCAATTGCGTGAACAGCTCGTGTGATTCTAAGCTCAGCATTTGCTTCACGGTCTCTCCTTGATATCTGTCCTGCACGGTTCCTGGAAAGGTGCGACTGCCTGGTATATCTCCGGGGCGCACTCGCCTGCCACCGTTTTCAAGCTCCCTTTGGTGCGGTCGGAAGCGGGAGTACATATTGCGCATCTTCCCTAGTCGAAAACCAAGATTGGGCTCGTCCTCGGCTTCGGTATCATACAAAGACAAGCCATCAGTGCCATGGTATGCGCAGAAGTACGGCGGTTCGACGAGCTTTGCAGATGGATGGTAACATTCGAGCAACAACGAATGCGAATTAAGCTCAGCAGCTGCAACGAGACGTGTATGTAGGATGCGAAGGATGATAGTGGACAACCGGCGCGATATCGAGGTCAGAGGGAGAAGTTCGAGCGTAGTCATGGGCACGAAGAGATGTATGAGCAACTACAATATTTAGCCTATCTGGGATGGGATGGTTACACCAGTAGCAAACCTCATTTGGGAGCGTGTAAAGATAACAGTCGACCATTGTTCCTGACGTAGACTCAGATTTGAAGTCAAGGAAGAGCAAGTCGTTTCACGATGGGTAAAGGAAGCCACCGCGCACGGAGATAAGATATCGTCATCGCGCTGCTGGTTTGACAGGGACTTGAGCCGAGGCCATTCTCAAAGTGGCTAACGTCAAACACGACCGCGCTTTCCCTTTCGAGCTTCAACACTCACCTTTCGTCTCTCACCTCACGACACCAAACTCTCTTGACAAGTGACGGAGAACGCGTCACTTGAGTCTCCCCTTCATATGCAACCTGCACCGCCCGACGATGCAGCGCTTCGTTAAGAATCACGGCGGCGTAGATGGCCCACCAAACGCCCAGGATGCCCAAAAGACTTCTAATCGGCAAGCCATTGCTGCGAACGCGAAGGTATCAACGAAGCACAGGCCTTCCAGTCGACAATCCCATTCAGCTCAGGTACCCTCGGGCATACCTTCTCGAGGTCTTGGCAATGTCCAAAACACTTCCGCTGCTATTCAACACGCGCCCCACCGCGGCATTTCGGGCCCACGCCAGAAACGTGACCTATACGACACTGACGGGGATAGCATTGACACTACAGTAAATCAACCTGTCGTCAAGGTTGAAGACAGCCAGCAAGGCCATCAGCAACCCTACCCTCAACCTGACCAAATTGTGGACCTTGGGAGTGAAGCCAAAAGCGACGAAGAAGAGTCGGATGTCGAGGAAGGCGAGGATGAGTACGACAACGAGTACAACAACGAGCCGGTGTTTACGCAGCAAGACGTTGATTATCTCACACAGCAAAATCAGTTGCATTTGAGTCGGTCCGAAGCCTTTGCCTACCTGCAACAAAACCAGCCAGGCAGATTCCGCACTATCGATGGTGATTCGTATCCCACCACCACCGAAGGCGATCCCAGTGAAGTGCATAGAGACCAGGAGCCGCCATCTGAGTATTACGACGATGAAGGACAGGTGTCTCCATCTCCACAACGTCATGCCATTAACGGACATCGACCACTGACTCCACCCTCTATGCATCGTGGACCTATGGCACCCGCCGTCAATCGGACTATGAACAGAGACTACGCAATTTTCAATCAGTCAGCAGCCCTCCGGAATCAGCAACGTGCGAACAACCTTGGCCAATTACCCGCAAACAGTCACCAGGGCAATGCTGCACCCTTGCCGTCGAGCCAACTACCTTCATATTCACAAGCAAATCGCGAGGTCTTTCAGCCCAAATCACCCAACCCACAAGCACACCCGAACCATCACGTAGCCTTCCAGCAACCTCATCAACCTCAGGTAAACATCCCGCAACCACCACCAAAACGATCTCAGGGCATGATACATCCTCAAGTTCGCATCTCGGTTGAGCATCCGCAGACCGCTCGCACCAAAGAAGTACCAATCATTCAGCCGCAGCAAGTAGCACAGCCGCGAGATGAGCAGATACCAGCTCACCCATATGGCGACTACGATCTCGAGATTCTTCACAAAATGCACTATGATCAATTGAAGAACGAGAGTTTCGACACCGACCCGCGTGCACCTGACCAGCCACTCTCCGATGACATGCTCCAGACGCCGCTTGTCGAACGCCTCGAGCATGTCCAAAAGAACCTCGAGCCAGCAAAGCAAGTCGAATTCTTTCATTCTTTACCTACCACTGAGTGGGAAGACGCCGGTGACTGGTTCCTCGATCAGTTCAGCAGCATTATCACCCGCACCAAGGAAGCGCGACAGAAGAAGCGCAAGCTCGCTCAGGGCTTCGAGGACGAGATTGAGAAGCGACACGAGCATGTCAACAAGAAACAAAATCAGGTCGAAGATGCGATGAACAAGATGAAGGCGCAGGGCGAGGGCCTGGTGCCTAGGAGCCCGAGGCCTAGCGAGAGCCCAAGGAGGAAGAAGACTTGATGTGTGGATGGTGACAGAGAAGTGGGGCAACAATAGTTGCGGTCTCGCAACGCTTATGGTGTTTATGTTGATGCTTACGATCTTATGAGGTAATGGACATGTCACGAGTGTCGATGGAATTTCCCATGGGGAGGCATGCATCAAGGTGTTTTCATTGTGGACTCGCGCGTTTTATACCCATATCTACGAGCATGTGTACTTCTAGTGTTCTAAGGTCTCGGAAATGGTTTCGCTCTTCAAAATAATGAATCAAGATTATGTCAAGGGCAATTGCTTTATTTCAAGGGTATCGTGGCTAACAGCGCAATCGACAGGGTATGTTGATACCTACCAGGATGCCGGACCAAGTTCGCAGGGCTGCTTTGAGATCCCCGCCTGAGGCCATACGAGATGATTGGTCAATGCGTGCGAATGGCTGTGGAGCTTGAAAATGATCAATTGTCAGGCTTGTGTCAAAATGTGCCGGGACGATCATATGGGGATCACATCTGCCGAACTGCTCGCTTCCAAGGCTGTGGGAGAAGCCGTTGCTTGGCTTGGATCGATGTTCCGTGCGCACTATCGAGCATGCAGCGATCACCGGGCATGATGAAGACCGACACTTTAGCGCCCAGTTTTACGCTTGCTAGGTAACACAATTATAGTTTGAATACTCCTGTGGTTCAAGATCCGGGTCAATGAAAGATTGGGGTCCTCACGATAAGCCTCATTGTACTCTTGCACCAATATTTGACGACTGAGCAATGTTGATCCTGCGGGTCCCATACACAAATTCAGGCAGCAACTTTTATAAATGGTGTCGCGGTATCGTGTTAAAAGCGACGACAGCGTCGCAGCTTGTGTGATGATCGTTGAGTTACTCCCCGGATTGAGCCGAATGAGGGTGTCGTCCCGGGGAAAGGGCGGAAGATTTACTTCGTTACGAGCTGTGTGCTCTTGTGTTCTCTGTTTACGCACGCAGCTGTCATGACCATAGTCATACACAATGCACGGCGGACTCATGACTCGTGCGCTCAGGAACAGCTGCGTCGGGGAAGCGGATTGTGGCGAGCGAGATCAAAGTTTGCTCCATCTGGAAGATATCCTGGAGAATACAGATTCTAGCGCGTTGCACGTAGTGAGATTCCCTGACTGCTAGTGGTGTCGCCGCGGCCGGAAGAAGCTGCCTTGAGCTACGGTTTGCTGTCCCACAACTTGTGTCATCAGCGGCGCAGGGAAGCTCCAGCAGAGTAACGCGCCGCGCGACCAAGCATGTCGCAGTGTGTGGTAGCTTGAGATGGGGAAAGCGGATGCAGCAACCGGTGCGATGCGAAGCTACATTCGTCCTGGATGGTAATATCTCTGGCGCAGTTTAAGTGTTGCACTGGTCGATGACTCTAGGTAACATTGTAATGAGCTCATTGTGTACTTTTGTAGAGCAATGGGGGCTGGCTTAGCCACTACACTTCGCACATGGTGCTGCTTGTAGTCAGCAGCAATGCGTCCGATTTGGATGATGCCAGCGCTGCACTCTTGAGCTGCAATTGCTAGCGCAATGATTCGCAAGTGTGCAATTGTTGGAAGCGGGCCGAAAGATTCATGTGCGCTCGTGTTCACTGCGTAGTTGTCGTGGTCACTTAGAAGTTGTGGTGCGCTACGGAGTATCAGCCGTGTTCCTGCACGATTGGCGTGGAGCGTTGAGGCGCAGGCAGCCGGGGGTTTATACAAAGATCGTCGGTGGTCACTCGACTGTAACGGGAGTCAGCAACGAAGCCCATCACAACTCTAGACACTGCAGGCAACCTCGACAAGAGACTCGTTTTTGATCTCTCCTGAAACAACCACGACCACTACCGCCGTTCTCTCTTCATCTTGAAGGTGACCTCCACTTACTTCGAGTCGTCGAGGCACGCTGGAAGCTAATACGAGC